AACAAAAGAAATGAGCAAAGGAAAAAAAGAGGGCGGGGGGAGGGGTGCCTGGCTGGCTCAGTCAGCAGAGCATGCGACTCTTGATCTGGGGATTGTGAGTTTGAGTCCCACATTAGGGACAGAGTCTGCATCATAAAATAAAATATAAAATAAAAAGAGACAAACCAAGAAACAGACTCTTCTTAACTATAGAGAACAAGCTGATGGTTACCAGAGGGGAGGTCGGTGGGGGATGGGGGAAACAGGTGATGTGGGAATTAAGAAGTGCACTTAAAAGGTGGGGAAAAAAAATATAAAACTGTACATTCTAAATATGTGCAGTTTAGGGGCCTGGGTGGCTCAGTCGGTTAAGCATCTGACTCTTGGTTTCAGCTCAGGTCATGATCTTGGGGTCGTGGGAACAAGTCCCGTGTGGGGCTCATGCTCAGCAGGGAATCTGCTTGAGATTCTGACTCTCCCTCTTCCCCTGCTCCTCCCCCCTCTCACTCGTGCTCTCTCTCAGTCTCATAAATAAATAAATAAATAAATAAATAAATAAATAAATAAATAAATCTTTTAAATAATAAAAATAAATGTGTGCTGTTTATTATACATCTATTATACCTCAATAAAGCTGTTTCTAAAAATCAGCTACAGTGAGCATCCAGAAAGGCGCACCATTCACATTATCTTATCTGTCCTTCCAATCTCTTTATGAACACACGCACTTTTACAAAATGGGATAATCTTTCCTTTTCTCCACATGGGGATAGATCGGGAGCATCTTTCCAAGTCATTAAATAACGATGCTTAATGGCCACACAGAATTTTATGTTCAGTAATAGTTAACGTGTTCCAAACAGGGATATCTACAGTGAGACCACTGAGGCTTCAGGGTGCGGGGCCCCCCTTTCTACCAGAAGCGGTATAGACTTCCAGGCCTCTGGAAGGAGCCATCAGAAGGCCAGGCTTCTGCCTGGCAGGGAGCCCGTGGGAACAAGCCCCTGGCCAGCCGCTCATTCCTGGTAATCCTGCCTCCTCTTATTGGCCCAGGTTGGCACCCGGTGCTGAGTAGGTCTTAGGCGGTGGTGTCCTGCCCCCTCCCCCACAGGGCAGCTTGGGCCTCACACAGGCCCAAACTGACACCCTAGTCCCAGCCCAGTGTTGGCCAGGCCCTGGTAGTGGTCATCAAACTTCTCAGTCATGTGTCCCCTAAAATAATTTTACATGCTCAGCTCTTTGGTTTTTGCTTTTCTTTTTAAGTAAGCTCTACGCCCAACACAGGGCTTGAACTCATGACCCCAAGATCAAGAGTCTTCATACTTCACAGACTGAGCCAGCCAGGTGCTGTCCCCCAGCCACCACCCCCCCAGAATAATTTTGAACACTCATCTACCTCTTGCATTTTTTAAAAAAGATTTTATTTTATTT